AGTGTCTGGCTCTTGATTTTGGCTCAGGTCATGATCTCACAGTTCTGTGTTGACCAGCACAGAGCCTGCTTGGAATTCCCTCTCTCCTTCTTCCTCTGCCCCACCCTGCTTGCTTGCTCTCTCTCTTTCTCTCTCAAAAATAAATAAATAAATAATACCAGAATTTTTTTTATCACCCCAAAAAAGAAATCCCTTACCCACACCCATTAGTAGTCATTCCTCAGTCCTTTCTCCGGCCTCTGCAAGCTACTAATCTACTGAGCTTATTTTTATTCAAAGGAAAGATTAAAATGATTTGACTCTATAACTGATTTCTAATAATCCTACTCTTCAGAAATGTGCTAAAAGGGGCTTTAATTGGTCTTTCTCCTGTTAGGAAAGAATACTGGAAAGGGATATCATGGGTAAACAGTAAATGAAGGTAAGATTTACTTTCTGAAGATGATAGTATTTTTAGTATTCATTTGGAATGAGTATTTTCTAGTAGACAGAACTTTTGAAAAAAAAAAAAGCCCTTTTAGAAATAAAGTCACAAGAGATGTTAGGTGCTTAGAATTGACATTTGAGAACTGAATAGCTATTAAAGATAATTTTGTCTTTCCTTCCTAGTTTTATAAGTGAAAAAATGGACACTCAGGGAGTTTATATCAACAGATACAACAGTCTGTGACAAAGTCAAAATTAGAATCCAAATCCCCTAACTGTAATATAAATGGTTTAAAAATGCTTCATCCTGTGTTGCTTTAGTGAGAAGTCTGCTTACTGTCCCATGAATATACTACACTCGTTTGCATTCTTTTTTTGTTTTTAAACTTAATAGATGGTAGTTATAGATTTTTTCTTTTTTTTTCTTTTATAGTTTATTATCAAGTTGGTTTCTGTATAACACCCAGTCCTCATCCCAACAAGTGCCCTCCTCCATGCCCATCACCTTGCACTCTCTTTTGAGTTGTACAGTTGACCCTTGAACAACACGGGTTTGAATTGCATGGGTCCACTTATGCATGGATTGCAGAGCCTCCTTGAGATTCTCTCTCTCTTCCCCCCTCTTTCTGACCCTTCCCTGCTCTCTCTCTCTCAAAAATAATAGTTAAAAAAAAAAAAAAAAAAGACCCAGTTCAAGTCCTGTGTCTCTTAGGAGTTTTTCTCTGGCTGAATGCTGAATGTTGTTCTCTGTTGTTCCCAATTTTGTCAAGAGTTTACAGTAGTCTCTGTGAGTAGATTCTCAGCTTCTCTAGAGCAGGAACCATATCTTTACAGTTTCACTTTCTTTCCTGTTTGAAAATCTTACTGTAGGATCACCTGGGTGGCTCAGTCAGTTGAGCGTCCGACTCCAGCTCAGGTCATGATCTCATAGTTCGTGGGTTCAAGCCCCACATTGAGCTCTGTGTTGACAACTCAGAGCCTGAAGCCTGCATCAGATTTCTTCCCTCTCTCTGCCCCTCCCCTGCTTGTTCTTTCTCTCTCTCAAAACTAAACGTTAAAAAAAAATTTTTTTTAAAGAAAATCTTACTGTAGAACTCTTTAGTAAATATGTGTATACTTTCTTTGTACTAGTTATAACATTTAAGTAGAAAGTAACTTGGGGCACCTGGGTGGCTTAGTCACTGGTTAAGCATCTGACTCTTGGTTTTGGCTCAGGTCATGATCTTATGGTTTCGTGGGTTCAAGCTCTGTGTCAGGCTCTGTGCTGGCACTGCGAAGCTTACTTGGGATTCTCTCTGCCCCTCCCCGACTCGCCCTGTCTCTCTCAAAATAAATAAATAAACTTAAAAAAATTTTAAATGAAAAAAATAGAAAGCAAGTGGGACGCCTGCGTGGCTCATTGGGTTTGGCGTCCAGCTTTTGATTTTGGCTCAGGTCATGATCTCTTCTGGTTTTGTGGGTTTGAGCTCTGGTCAGGTGCTGTGCTGGCAGCACTGAGCCTGTTTGGGATTCTCTCTCTGCCTTTCCCCCACTCACACTGTCTCTGTCTCAAAATAAATAGATTAAGGAATTTTTCTTTTAATAAAAAAATAGAAAGCACCTGGGGCACCTGCAAGGGTCATTGGGTTGAGTGTCCAACTCTTGATTTCGGCCCAGGTCATGATCTCGCAGTTGTGTGGGTTTGAGCCCTGTGTCAGGCCCTGTGCTGGCAGCACTGAACCTTCATGGGATTCTATCTCTCTGCCCCTCCCTCACTCACACGGTCTCTGTCTCTCTCAAATAAATAAACTTAAAAAACTTTTTAAAAATAAAAACAAATAGAAGCAACTGGGCACCTGTGTGGCTCAGGTCAAGATTTCACAGTGATGGGATTGAACCCTATGTCAGGTTTAGGGCTGAGGATGGAACCTGCCTGGGATTTTCTCACTTCCTTTCCCTGCCCCAACTGGTGTGCGCTTGTGCGCTTTCTCTCTCAAAATAAGTATTAAAAAAATAGCAACTTATGTATCCACCTGAAATGTTCACCTATCTTAAAGAGTCATTGAGTCATAACCAGAAAATAGATCTGTTACCTTGAATTGTATACCTGGTATCATTTATAGATCTTTCTTTGAGAAGTTTGTCATTTGACAATTTGGTCATCAATAAGAGTAAAACAGTCATGAATTGGCAACATATTAAATACGGTTAAATTCATGAGTTCATAATGATACAGCAAAACAAAACTTATTAGTTATCTGTGAAGAATGCTAGGGATCCAACTCATTATTTTGAAAAGTAGAAAATAAAGGAAAAGAACAAAGTATTGCTTGTGACTTTCCTTTCTCATCTGTACCTCAGGATAATTGAATGATTGAAGAGGGTAGGTTTCTTTCTATCCAAGTTTTCTGGCTAATAAAGACAGGATGATAGGGGTGCCTCAGTCAGTTGAGCATCTGACTTTGGCTTAGGGCATGATCTCGCAGTTTATGAGTTCGAGCCCTGCGTTGGGCTCTATGCTGACAGCTCAGAGCCTGGAACCTGCTTCAGATCCTGTGTCTCCCTATCTTTGCCCCTCCCCTTTTGTGCTCTGTCTCCTTATCAAAAATAAATAAACATTAAAAAAAATCTTTAAGACAGGATGAGAAAATTAGAATACCTCCAGGGCACCTGGGTGGCTCAAGTCGGTTAGGTTAAGCGTCTGACTTCATCTTAGGTCATGTTCTCATGGCTCGTGGGTTCAAGCCCCACAACAGGCTCTGTGCTGACACCTCAAAGCCTGGAGCCTGCTTTGGATTCTGTGTCTCCCTCTCTCTCTGCCCCTCCCCACTCTCAAAAATAAATAAACATTAAAAAAGAGAATACCTCCATTTTGCAGCCACTAATGAACTAATGGATCTAGGCAATAGAAATCCATGGCTGCTCCTATCACAAAAAGGGAGAGAACTAGATATTAGGAGCCTCCTGTGAAAAGTTCACAGCACCACCTTTGAAGTCATCTTCTCACCTCAGAAAAGCCAAACCTAGGGGTGCTTGGGTAGCTCAGGTGGTTGAGCCTCTGATTTTGGCTGTGGTCATGATCTTACAGTTCGTGGGTTCAAGCCCCATGTTGGGCTCTGTGCTGACAGCTCAGAGCCTGGAGCCTGTTTCAGATTCTGTGTCTCCCTCGCTCTCTGCCCTTCCCCCATTCACACACTCTCTCTCTCAAAAAAAAAAAAAAAAAAGCCAAACCTAAATCTGATTAAGCTTTTCTGGATCAAAACACTAATACCAATTTAGAGAAAATATAAGGACCAGAAGAACCCAGTACCGTAGGAGCTAGTTAGCATAATCCAGACTGGAAAACTAAACTGGTGTCATCAGCAAAACAAATTTCCAGAGGAAGGAAAAGAAAAAGGAGGAGGAAGGAGCCTATAAGTATCAAAAGACTTAAGACACTTATCATCCCTTGCTATATATGGACTTTATTTGGGTCCTGATTCATAGAGACATGCTTAAAATACGACAGTTGGGGAAATATGAACACTGACTGCTTATTTGATGTCATAAAGGAATTCTGGTTAATTTTTTCAGTGTCATAACAGTATTATTAATTTTAAAAAGAGATAAATATGTGTGGACAAAATAATATCTTGGTAAACTCACAAGATCCAGTGCTATTAGAGCTCCTCAGCTTGGCCCAGAGAAGAATCTCTGCCTAATTACAATGTATTTCAGTTTCCCTCTTATGTTAAAAAATTTTTATTTGAGAGAGAGTGCGAAAGTGAGTGAGTGAGCATGAGCAGGGAGTGGGGTTGGGGGGTTTGGAGTGGGGGGAGAGAGAGAGAGAATATCAATCTTTAGCAGGCTCCACACTCAGCATAGGCGCCTGATGCAGGTCTTGATCCCAAGATCCTGGGATTATGCAAGACCCTGGGATTATGACCTGGGCCTAAATCAAGATTTGGGTACTCAACTGACTGAGCCACCCAGGTTGCTCCTCTCAGGTTTTAAACTCTCAAAAGCATGTACTTTATTTCTAGGGCCTGTTAATTCTAACAAATGCTTAATGGCGTTCTGCTTGCCAGGCTAAGATCTAGGCACTGAGGATACAGCAGTGAACAAAAGAAACAAAATAAAATGAATAGATCCCTGCTTTTTTGGAGCTTATATTTGAGTGGAGTGAGACATTTAACAAACTAAATGAGCAGATTTTGAGATACACAGTATGTTAGACAGTTAAGTCTTGTGCAGAAAATGAGGATATTAATTATAAAATTTAAACTGGCTATTAGAAAATAGTTTCAGTTTATAGGTTTTCTTTTAAGTTTATCAGAGAGAGAGAGAGAGACAGAGACAGAGAGAGCATGAGCAGGGGAGCGGCAGAGAGAGAGAGAGAGAGAAGAATTCCAAGCAGGCTCCATACTGCCATCGCAGAGTGCATTGCGGGGTTCGAATCCACAAACCATGAGATCATGACTTGAACTGAATTCACATGCTTAACCGAATAAGTCACCTACGTGCCCCTCATTTATAGGTGTTCTAAGAGCTCTTTCAGACTTTTGCTATGGCCTTCCATATTGCTCACTATTTTCTTTCTTTTTTTAGATTCAATGGATGACAAGAAGGAGAATCAAAAGAAGATGCCTCAGTCAGGCACATCTTCTGTGCTAAGTGGTAGGTTTTAAAGTATTTCAGTACAATATATTTTTCTTCCTCATTCAGTGTTGATATGAACTCTTAATGCTTTTGGTATAGTATATATGTATGGTAAACTCCTGTGAATATAAAACCTAAGCAAGGGGAAAGGTAGAAAAATGGTATTTTATTTTGAAAATTTAATTTTGGTTTTATTTTAGAGACACTGGTATGGGATTAAAGTAAAAAAATCATGTATTTCGGTGCACATTTTGCCAAATTAAAGGTATGTAGTTAATAATTAACATTTATTACCAATTAAAAGTAATCTGTTTATTAATAAAAATCCTTCTAATATTAGAGTCAGTGTGAAAATCCATTTTTTTAATGGTCAAAAGACAGTTCATTGGATAAAAACTTAGTCATTGGGAGGTCTGACAGATCTGTTCTAGAATCCTGGCCTCATTCTTTACTGGCCTTGTGACCTTGGGCAAATTACTCAATGTTCTTAGTTTCTTTTGTCTTCTCTGTAGCACAGGGATAATACTACTTATTTATGGGACTATGGGAATTAAATAAGGGAATGTAAAGCACTTAAAATAATGCCTAGGCATACAGTAAAATGTTCAGTGAATGTTAATTTATTAACTTTGAGTTATTAATTCATGTTTTAAGTTTCTTATTGTGAACAGAATGTTTATAGTATTGCACCAGAGACTCAGGAGATAGAATCTGACCCATTGTACCTGCTCTTAAGGAAAATAAAAAAAATAGTCATATGCATATAAAAGGCTGAATTTAAAAATATTATGACAAACTGACTGTGTTTATCAGAGATTTCCAGGCAAATATTTTGCCCCTTGTTATTCTGTTGTCCTGTCCTGCCAGCCCCACTCTTGGGGTAGTTCATCTGTGACTTTCTGTTCCTACAGAAAGATTGTCTATAGAGGCAATCCCCATGGAATTGTTTTTTCCTCACTGTAGCTGGGCTCCCAGTGCTTCCTTAGCTTCCTTTTCCATTGGTCTTATTTGTTTTTCAGCAATTCCCTCCAACCTCCAAAACCCTCCAAGGAAAGGAAGGCCATTAGATTACAATGTTCTTCCTTAATCCCTACGATTTCCTCTCCATCTGTTTTATTTCTTCCTTAATCCATACAAACTCCTCTCCATCTATTTTCTTTTTTTAAATATAACACTGTTATTGATATATAATTCACATACCATAGAATTTACCCTTTTAAAGTATGTAATTCATTGGTTCTTGATATATTCACAGACTTGTGCAACCATCACCACAATCAATTTTAGAACATTTGCATCATCCTAAAAAGAAATCCCATACCCAGTTAGCAGCCACTCCCCATTTTTCCCCAGTGCCTTTCCCCTCTCTCAGCTCTAGGCAACCATTTGTGTATTTTCTGTCTGTAGATTTGCTATTCTGGACATTTCCTAAAAATAAATTTAAAAAAATGTATTGTTAAAGATTGAAACTAGTAACTTCAAAATTCTCAAACTGTTGGTTGAAAAAATGAGATTACTTAATGAAATTGACAGATATCTTTAGGTATTTCTCAGGGCTCTGACTCTAACATTTCATCTGAGAAATCTGAATGTTAGAAGGTAAACTCCAGATTGTCCGTTTTATTAATTGCTCTGTCCATTGTACCTAGGACAGTGCCTTGCACATACTGGCAACTTTTTATGGGAAACCAGTGATGAATAAGATAAACATGATTCCCGCCCTCTTTGAGCTTAGGGGGCAAGATTGACATTAAGCAAATACCCAGTTACAGCTGTGATGATTGCCATGAAAGTAATAGGTGCTGATCGTTCAGCCAATAAGCTTCCAGCTCTAGATAGTTTTTTCATCTTCTTTATTTACGTAGCCTCTAAACCTAAGCCTAGCACTGATGGGAGACATCAGGATTCTGATTTACTCCAGAGAAGACCAAGGGGCTCATGTAGATTATGTTCAGTTTGCCAAAAGGTGTTTGGGCTACTATATAGACTAGAGTACAAGTCAAACAAGGACCATGGACATGCATGAATAACAGTCAAACCAAAAGGTTATGTGTGTACACCTCTCTCACAAACAAACCTGTTAGTTGCCAGGCCTCTTTTCTAAGAGAGAATAACATTCCCCTGCCCCAATCTGTCCATGAAGGTAAGATGCAGAGGCTGACTGGGACCTCAGATTTGGGTAAGACTTTCTGACTATTTTGACTCTTGGTCAGGAATTCCAGCTGTGGTATTATTGTGGGTGTTGTCAAATTTAAATTTAAGTAAATCCTGTTGGTCTATGTGTGTTTCCCTTGTGTTATTGGTAGGGTCTCAGCACATGGGTAGCCAAATTGAATGGTTTTAGGAACTGAAAATTTTGCCTTATGAATAAAGGAAAAAAGTTAAGGCTCCAGTGGTTAAGTACTACATAGGGTCATTAGCTAGCACTGTGATAGAAAGAAGAGATAGAAAATGATCATATTACAGTATACTGACATAAAGGATTTGTTAGCTTAAATTATAGCCCATTCAGACACAAATGGTGATATGATAGAATAAAAACTTGTGTTAGATGAATTAAATATTCTCCAGTATCATTGAAAAATTTTACAAGTGTAGCTGGTTTATTGGAGTGTAATTGTGAAATGATTTTAGCTTCCCAGTCATTATTTTCAGCTTCTTTCCCTTTCTACCTGGCATGTTGGCTCTTTAATCCATAGTCAGATTTTTCTCTTCATTCATGTTTTGTTTTTTGTTTTTTTTTTTTAACACTCTCTAAGATCATGTGGTGGTAGAGCTTCATTTAGAACCTTGGGTCTCCTGATTGTCAGGTTAGTGGTTAAGAGGTCACTGAAATGTCCTGGTCAGTTTTATTTTGGAGCTATGGATCTCAGTTTTCACTTTTTAAATATATGTATTTTAACGTTTATTTATTTATTTTGAGAGAGAGAGAGAGAGAGAGAGAGAAAGCATGAGCAGGACAGGGCCAGAGAGAGAGGGAGAGAGAGAATCTCAAGCAGGCTCCACACTGTAAGTGCAGAGCCCGATCGATACAGGGCTCTAAGTCATGAACTGCAAGATTATGACCTGCGCCAAAGTCGGACACTTAATGGACTGAGCCACCCAGGTCCCCCCTAATATATTAAAAAAAATTTTTTATTTTAAGTAGGCTCCACATCCAACATGGGGCTTGAACTCATGACCCTGAGATCAAGACTTCTATACTTTATGGCTGAGCCAGCCAGGCGCCCTTCAGTTTTCAGGTTTGACAAAGCTATCCAGTATTAATAAATTTGGCACAGCTGTGACATTTAGTTTTAGAATAATCATACCTTTTATTGAGTGACTTACATGTAAGTTGTGTCACTTAATTCTCAAAATACCTTGTACCATATGTATTACTTTTCTTCATTTTGTAGATGATAAAGGACTGAGGCTGAGAAAGTAAAATGACTTGCTCAGGTCACAAAGCTTTTAAGAAGCAGGGCCAAACTGGAAGAGGGCAGGTTTGATTACTGAGACCATATTCTTGACATTCTGCCACATGCCATTCAGCACTGTGATAGTGCTAGCTTTATATCATTTAGAATTGGAGTTAAACCCAGTATTTTTTTTAATGGAACAGTCTCTTAAATTTATGGTTAAAAAAGGCAGGGAGTACAGTGTTATGTATGACATGCTTAATACCATATATAATATGTATACGTATACATATAAATGCATACACACACATAAGAGTGGTATGCTGATGCTGGCTCACATCACCTTGGGAGAGAGCCACTTGTGAACATCTCTTCCCAACTTCATTGTTGTTGACTTTACCTTGGCACCTTGCGATCAACCATGATGGTAGTATTTATACCAGAGAAATCTGCAAACACTTGCAGTTATGTTTTTTATTTGCATATTTTGGGAAGCTGGTTGCTGATTTATCAGTACTGTGTGTGTGTGTGTGTGTGTGTGTGTGTGTGTGTGTAAGCATTATACCCTTTGAAGGATATATAAGAGGCTGGTCATGCAGATTCCCCCAAAAGGGAAACTGTCAAACCCAGTATATATTTTTTAATGTGTATTTGTTTATTTTGAGAGCGTGGGGAGTACACACAAGAGCAGGGGAGGGGCAAAGAGAGAGAGAGGGAAAGAATCCCAAGCAGGCTCTGTGCTGTCAGCGCAGAGCCTGACTTGGGGCTCGATCTCCCGAACTGTGAGGTCATGTTCTGAGCTGAAATCAAGAGTCAGAGGCTTAACCAACTGAGCCACCCAGATGCCCCAAACCCAATATTTTTATAGTGAGGACGTTAAACAAGAGTATAGGTGGTTGATGAGAATTAAACTTCGTATGAACTAAAAGTACCTTTAATACTACTGCTAGGTCTTAGTGTCTTGGTACTCTGACTGGGGCAGTGAATTGAAGTGTCAAGTCAGGCAAAGTACGGTGCTTTCTGGTATTTTTTAAATACCATTGTAATATATCGTGAAGACTGAATAGGAGAAGGGCAGCAAGGGTTTGTAGAAAATATAGATCATTAAAATTCATATCAGTGACTGTACCATGACTGGTTTATTGTTTATTTTGCCACCATATTCTTTTTTAAATGTTTGTCTATTTTTGAGAGAGAATGTGAGTGGGGGAGAGACAGAGAGGAGTACAGAGAATCTGAAGCAGGCTCTGTGCTAACAGCAGAGAGCCCAATGTGGGGCTTGAACCCACAAACTGAGATCATGACTTGAGCCAAAGTTGGAGCTTAACTGACTGAGCCACCCAGGTTCCCCTCTGCCCTATATCTTGACACCCTGTATGGAGATCTAATAGTCAATTGAGAAGCAACTCTAATTCTCAGACTTTTTTTCTTTCCATAAAGCATTGCAGGGGTAAGAATCTGTTAGACCACATACCTAAACACCTTTAATTCTCCTTGAGAAAATTAGAAAGTGCCTTCACATTAATGGGATGAAATGGTCTTGAGTAAACACATGCCTTGAGTAAATTTATATTAGAGACAGATGAGTAGAATTTTTTATTACTCTATAAAAAATCCTTTCATTGTTCTTAGAGTCCACATTGTTAGAATCACTGTGCTAATGTCTCATAACCAGTATTATCAGAAAGTTGTCTCTTTTATTTCTATGCTGGTAATCAAATGTAGATCAGTAAATTTGAATATGCTCTGTAGGAAGTCTTTTTAAATTTTTTTTAATTTTAGGGAGGGGGGAGAGAGAGAGACAGAGGGAGAGAGAATGAATGAATCTTAAGCAGGGTCCATGCTCAGTGTAGAGCCCAATGCAGGGTTTGATCCCATGACCCTGGGATCATGACCTGAACCGAAATCAAGATTCTGACACTCAACCGACTGAGCCACCCAGGCGCCTCTAGGAGGTCTTTTTCCCCCTCCCCTTTTCAAAAGTTTAAATATTAGTTAACAAACATATGGTGCAATATTGGTGCAATATTTTGGGGTAGAATTCAACGTACCTACTTACATATAACACCCAGTGTTCATCACAACAAGTGCCCTCCTTAATACCCATCACCCATCTAGCCCATCTCCTACCCACTTTCCCACAAACCCATAGTTTGTTCCTTATCATTAAGAGTCTCTTGGGGCACCTGGATGGCTCAGTTGGTTAAGTGATTGGACTTTGGCTCAGATCATGATGTCACAGTTCATGGGTTCGAGCTCCGTGTCAGGCTCTTTGCTGACAGCTCAGAGCCTAGAGCCTGCTTAGGATTCTGTGTCTCCCTCTCTCTCTCTGCCCCTCCTCTGCTTGTGCTCTGTTTCTGTCTCTCAAAAATAAGTAAATGTAAAAAATTAAAAAAAATTTTTTTTAAATGTTTATTTTTGAGGGAGAATGAGAGAGAGAGAGAGGGAGACACAGAATTTGAAGCAAGCAGGCTCCAGGCTCTGAGCTGTCAGACGGAGCCCAGTGTGGGGCTCAAACCCACAAACTGTGACATCATGACCTGAGCTGAAGTTGGTCACTTAACTGACTGAGCCACCCAGACGCCCCCCAAAAATTTTTTTAAAAGGAGTCTCTTGTTTGTTTTCCTCTCCTCTCTCCCCCTCCCCCATATGTTCATCTGTTTTTTAAAAAAATTTTTTATAGTTTATTTTTGAGACAGAGAGAGAAAGAACATGAGTGGGGGAGGGGCAGAGAGAGAGGGAGACACAGAATCTGAAACAGGCTCCAGGCTCTGAGCTAGCTGTCAGCCCAGAGCCTGACGCGGGGCTCGAACCCACGAACCGTGAGATCATGACCTGAGCCAAAGTCGGACGCTTAACCAACTGAGCCACCCAGGCGCCTCAATAAAATTTCAATCTTTTTGATGGCTGGGTATTGTTACATTGTACATATACATATATATACATACCACATCTTAATGATCCATTCATCAATTGATGGACATTTGGGCTTTCACCCTAGTTTGGCTGATGTTAATAATGCTGCTATAAACTTTGGGATGCATGTACCATTCGAATCTGTTTTTTTTGTATAAGAAGTCTCTTTTAAAAGATATATGGAGGGGCGGGCTCAGTGGGTTTAGTCTCTGACTCTTGGTTTCGGCTCAGGTCATGATCTTGTGTTTCATGGGATCAAGCCTCGTGTTGGGCTCTGTGCTGAGTGCAGAGCTTGCTTGGGATTTTCTCTCCCTCTCTCCCTGCCCCTACCTTGCTCATACTTCTCAAATATATAAGCCTAAAAAAATAAAAGATATATGGAACTAAAGTCCATTTTATTCCTGAAAGTGAGCATGCATATTATATATACTAAAAAACCTATTTCATGCATTTTTTTCTCCAGATGAGTTCCATTGGGAAAATTACTTGAAAGAGACTGGATCTTTGGGTGCTCCTTCAGAGTGTTTCAGACAGGTATGCTCAAATCCTGTAGATGTTGTATATATTAATGTGAACTGTTAATTTGATGAAGGATGTTTGTGTGACTGTTGGGTTCTTGTAGTGCAAGGAGGTAATGGGGATTGTGATAGTGCCACTTAAGGGGCAGATGGTATCTTTGCGTATATTCATTAAGAATTTACTCCACATCAGGTATATTAAACCCTATGACTGTCCATCTGGTGGGAAAGACAGACATGTAAATAATTAATTATGAACAGTATGATAACTGTACTGGGAATGCTCACAGAAGAGATGATATCTGAGATGGTTGGAATGAGGGCAGAGATATTCCAGGTAGAGAGAACATCCAAAGCAAAGGCATATAGATGTAAAAGAACCTGAGTGTTGAGGGATGACATGGGTGGCTGGAGCACAAAGTGGGTAGAGGTGATAGTGTGGAAATAAGGTTAAAGGTGTGGGGGCTTTTAAACTGTACTGAGGACTTGGACTTAAGCAGTGGTGAGCTGCCAGTTTGTTTATTTCAATGGGGAATGGCCTAATCAGATTCTTATTTTAGAAAGCCACTCAGGGTGCATTTTAGAGGGTGTATTTGAGTTGCCTGGAAGTGGGCAGAGGAGTGAGACCAGCAAGGAACGGTGTTTTTATGCTTCATGTTGAGCCAAAGAGAGGATTTGGAGAAGATCTTTTCCTTGACCTTTATAGTTCTTTTGCTTACCATCTACTATGAATGGTACTTAAAACATTTATTGGGTATTTTGGTAACATAGCTGACCATTTGTTTTTCTTACAATCGATACATTTTAACAAAACTTTTTTTCTTTGTGTGTGTGTGTGTGTGTGTGTGTGTGTGCACGCATACACATATATATCCATATATATATCCATATATATATATATATATATATATATCCACACACATGCAGTCTAAGGTTCCACCAGCTAATGAATTCAAAGTTGGCATGAAATTGGAAGCCCATGACCCTCGCAATATGACTTCAATATGTATAGCCACAGTCGTCGGAATTACTGGTGCCAGGCTACGTTTAAGACTGGACGGTAGTGACAACAGAAATGATTTTTGGAGGCTTGTTGATTCTCCAGACATACAGCCTGTTGGGACATGTGAAAAGGAAGGGGATTTACTTCAGCCTCCACTGGGTAAGGATAAACAATTTTTAAACTAGTATATTCTTACTAATGTAATATTCAGTAGAAATAGTTTTTAAGCAGCCTTAATTAATTATTTTTAAAAGGTTTTATTTTATTTTTTAAAGTCTTTAAGTTTGAGAGAGTGTATGTGGACACGAGCTAGGGAGGGCAGAGAGAGGGAGAGAGAGAACCCAAAGCAGGCCCCACACTGTCAGTGTGGACCCCAGTGTGGGGCTCAGTCCCATGAACCATGAGATCATGACCTGAGCCAAAACCAAGAGTAGGATACTCAACTGATTGAGCCCCCTAGGAGCCCCAAGATTTTATTTTTAAGAAATCTCTACACCCATCATAGGGATCAAGCATCCCATGCTCTACAGACTGAGCCAGCCTGGTGCCCCTGAGTGGCCTTTTAGAAATCTCTTCTAGGGGGGCGCCTGGGTGGCTCAGTCCATTAAGTGTCTGACTTCAACTCAGGTCATGATCTCACAGTTTGTGGGTTCAAGCGCCGCGTAGGGCTCTGTGCTGACAGCTTAGAGCCTGGAACTTGTCTTCGGATTCTGTGTCTCCCTCTTTCTCTGACCCTCCCCTGCTCATGCTGTCTCTATCTCTCAAAAATAAATAAAACATTTAAAAAAAAAAGAACAACAAAATACAAATCTCTTGTAGGGATTTTTTGCAGATAGATTGTCAGGTGGTTACTGTGGAGAATGTATGAGAGAGGAACTCAGTACCATATGTTACAGAGTTTACTTAAATACACGTTTGGCATATGTATGTATGCTGAAGGTTTCCCACTCCAGGGCAAGACATATGCTTTCTTCAAACTTGAAATGTCAAAAACAGCTCTACTAGGTTACAGATTCAGAAACCCTTCTAGGGAAGAAGTTTGTAGCATTTGTTACAAGTCACTTCTTCACTTATTATTGTCCATTGAGCCATTCAGCATTTTCACCATGGGGATGTGCACAGGGAAAGAGTATGATTCCACATCCAGACTCCAGTTTCAAACTTGAAAATTTTGTTATATCTACAGTGGGAGGAAATCATAGTGAGGTAAGGATCAGTACTTTGAAAAGGAGGAGATTGATGGAAATTTACAAGCAAAGGTTTTTAAGTACAAAGCTCTCAAGTTTGAGGTTTTTTTTTTTTTTAATTTTTTAATGTTTTATTTATTTCTAGGAGAGAGAGAGAGACAGCGTGAGCAGGGGAGGGTCAGAGAGAGAGGGAGTGACAGACTCTGAAACAGGCTCCAGGCTCTGAACTGGCAGTCAGCACAGAGCCCGACGCGGGGCCCGAACCCACAAACCGCGAGATCATGACCTAAGCGAAAGTCGGACGCTTAACCGACTAAGCCACCCAGGCGCCCCTCAAGTTTGAGTTTTTAAAAGGTAAAAAGTAGGTGACTCCAATTTGGGGCAAGATAGTTCTCTCTTAATATTTAGATGTACTCTGATATTCTGTAGAAAATAAATGATCTCCTTTATTCTGCTATCTGTGAGGGAATGGTGGATATTGGTTTTTGTTTCTTCTTTACAATGCTGAAATGAAAATTCTCTGTTGTAAAGCACAATGAGGAAATGGATTTTTTTGGTCTCCTACTAGTTAAAAATTTCCTGGGAGTCCAGAATTTAAAATATTAATAATAACCACTCTTGGGGTGCCTGACTGGCTTAGTTGGAAGAGCATGCAACTCTTGATTTGGGGATTGTGAGTTTGAACCCCATGTTGGGTATAGAGATTACTTAAAATCTTTAGAAAAAAATAATAACCACTCTTTTAGCAATATATTTTTATACTTTCCTTGCTCTAATTGTTAATCATTCCTAATTTGGTTTAAAATATTTAAAAAAACTAATTAGAGATGTGTTTTTTCAAGAGGGTGGTTTAGGGTGTGTGTGCGTTTTCTACTTTTTGCTTTCTTTTATTTCTTCATATCATTTATGTTATTTTGTTTATTTTTATAATATCTCTGAAATCATACAGAATTCTATAAGAGATGGAAGTGTAAACCTGAGGCTTAGTGCTTCCCTGTTTGGATTTGATTTCTGTTTATAAATGGTAATATGTTTTTGTATTTTATTTAAAGGAAGCACAGCTATTGTGATTGTCAACATTTCAAACACATAGCCAGATTTATGATCATTCCTTTTTCAAATTACTTTTGGAGTTTATTTTATTAATTAAAAATGTGAAGTACATAGTAGTACATGCTGATCAATATATATTTTGATAGTACATATTAAAAATACACAGTTTTTGCCAATCTTCTCATTAGGTGTTTTTGAATAGTTTAGTTTCCATTTTAATATAACACAACTTATTTGGTGTTCTTTTTTAAAAGGTTATTTAAACCTTAAAGGTTATTATTTAAAAGAACTTTTAAAGTTTTAGCATACAAACAGAAAAGTGTATAAATCATAAGTGTACAGCTTATAAATCAACACATCTATATATAACCATCACCCAAATCAAGAAACAGAACATTATCAGCACCCCAGAAACCCTACTCCTGCTGATCCCCAGTTATAAACCTCCCATTCCCAAAGGTACCCCTGTCTAGACTTCGTAACATTATAGATTAGTTTATCTGTGTTTGAATTTTTATTTTATGTTTGTATGTATGTATTTATTTTTAAGTTTATTTTGAGAGAGTGAGCACACACAAGCAGGGGAGGGACAGAGTAAAAGGGAGAGAGAGAGAATCCCAAGCAGGCTCCGCACAGCCAGCTTGGACCCTGATGAGGGCCTCAAACTCATGAACCATGAGTCATGACCTGCGCCAAAACCAAGAGTTGGACACTTAACCGAGTGAGCCACCCAGGAGCCCCTGTGTTTGAATTTTTGTATGCACTTTCATCTATTTTTGACCTTTTAATCTATGTTTGACTTTAGGCAATTAATTAAGAAAAATATCAAATTAAGATGATGGTGATGATAATGATTGCATAATGCAAGAGGATAAGATGGGGGTTAAGAAAAAGGCATAAGGACCAGAGAATGACTGTTATGCAATATTGTAACCACAACGTGGCAGATCCACGTTGTGGATGATTATTTATTAGATATAACTAATAATACTGATTTATTGTAAGGGAGTATATAATAACTCCCCTGTCCCCATTTTTTCCCTAACAACAGTTATTTTCCCTGGTCAATTAAGGAGATTTTGGTACAGGATTATTATAGGGTGACTTTCTGTCTGAACTCTTGTGCATGTTTATACTATTGATGGACCAAGTGCCAGTGATTGCCACTGATTCGTATGCCTCCCTGTCTTAATGCATGTATCCATCAGGGATGCATGCCAAGTTCTCTTTAATTCTGGTATCAGGGCAGGCAAGTGTTGCATGAAACAGATTGCCCCCAGAAAGCAATAAAACTAGCAGACCTCTCTTCTCCCTGTTGCACATGCAGATGCTGTGATATCCACAATTAATTGATGAGCTCTCCAAAAAAGACACCTGTTGAGTCTCTTTTGATTACATCTGATACAAATTCTAAGAGGAAATCATCTTTAATGTGTATAAAGATTGCTAAAGGGAGAGCTGTCTTTTTTTCCTAATGTATGAAAAATTTCAAATATAGAAAAGGTGAAAGAATTTTACAGTGAACACCCACATACCCATTACCTAGATTCTGTCATTGTCATTTTCCATACTTGCTTTATCACTTACCTGTGTATCTGCCCTTCTATTGATTCATCAATCTATCTTACTTATAAATGCATTTTAGAGTAAGTTACTGATGTCAGTACATCTCCCCTAAATACTTTAGCATGCATATCATTAACTAGAGTTCAGTGTTTATTTGCAGTTTTTTAAGATTTTGAGGTAAAATTTATATACAATGAAATGCACCATCCTAAGTGTACATTTGCTGAGTTTCACAGAAAACTGTCTTTTTTTGAAAGGAAAATGAGGCAGGGACCCTGAGGAAAAAGAGAGACTGGAAGTCTTTTGCAGCCTTTGCCATGCTTGTGTGGCTATTAGTAGGGACTGAAAGCTCTTCTGGGTTTTGGCTTGGGTCACCCATAGTATTATGGCCCATTCCTAATGTACTTATGTGTTTGTTGGTGAACTCTAGCTAGTGCCTTCTCTAAAATGAGAGTTTCTACCCCTGCTGTAGCATTGTCGCCAAATAGTACAGTGGGTACGATAGAACTTATTGGAAGGTGTATCTACTCCTCTTGCCCATTTCCTGGGTTTCTTGGTAAGAAGGACATTCTCTGGAGAAGAATTTTAAACAAAACCTTTTTTTTATGCCATCTTGCTATAATATCATAGGAAGTCTTTTTCATGCTGATTTATTTTATAAAATAGGGTACCAAATGAATGCATCATCTTGGCCAATGTTCCTGTTACGAACACTGAATGGATCTGAAATGGCACCTGCAACATTGTTCAAGGAGGTAAGAAAGATGTTATAAAAAACTTCCATCGGGGAACCTGGGTGGCTCAGTCAATTGAGCATTTGACTCTTGATTTTGACTGACGTCATGATCCCAGGGTTGTGGGATCGAGCCCCATGTTGGGCTCTGCACTGAGCATGAAGCTTGTTTAAGATTCTCTCTCCCTCTCTTCCCCCTCTCTCTGATCGTCTCCCCTTTTCCCGTTATCCCTCTACCCCCTCTCTCCTGCTTACCCCTGCATGCGCGCGCTCTCTCTCTCTTGTTCTCTCTCTCTCTCTCTCGTTTTATTGTTTTAATAGGAGCATTTAAATGACCACAGACTAGATAGCTTAACCAATAGAAATTTAATTTTTCACAATTCTTGGAGCTGGAAGTCCAAAATCAAAGGGCCATCAGGGTTGGTTTTTGGTGAGGCTTCTGCTCAGCTTATAGATGGCTACCTTTTTGCTGTGTCCTCACATGGCCTCTTCTCTGTGCACGTGGGGAAGGGGAGGTATGTCTGGTTTCTCTTCCTCTTATAAGGACACCAGTCCTATTGGATTAGGGCCCCACCATTAGGACCTCACTTAATCTTTGTTACCTCCTTAAAGGCCCTGTCTTTAAATAAAGTGACTTTGGGTATTTAGGACAAATTTATGAATTAGGGAAGGTATCATTCAGTTCATTACAGTGGCTTAAACAACAGAAATTTATTTTCTTACAGCTCTGGAGGCTTAAAGTCTGAGATCAAGATGTCAGCAGGCTTTGTTTCTTTTGAGGCCTCTCTCCTTGACTTTTAATAATCTGTGTGTGTTGTACTTTCCTCCCCCTTGGATTAGGCCCCACCCTAATAACCTCATTTTAACTTAATTACCTCTTTAAAGACCCTGTCTCCAAATGAAATCACATTCTAAGGTACAGGGGGTTAGGATTTAAACATGAATTTGGCAGGGGTGGGGGACACAATTCAATCCATAACAGCAAGTCATAAAAAAGTCTCAATTATAGTCAGTAGTCAAAATGAATTTGTACCCCCTTTCCAGACCTTAGATATGAAAAGAATGCTCTACTAGAAGCAAATGTTCATTGCTCTTTTTTATTTACCTTCAGAAGTGAAGCTTTCCCTCACTTTGCTGTATTAGTCATCCTTTGACATTGGAGAAAATGATGATGGTCCAAAAAACCACTTGAAAGTTACTTAGAGAGATTTGGTTTCAGAAGTAAAAGAATGTTAAAAACAGTCATCAAAAAGAGTTTGTTATAAGGAAATACTTGTTATATAACGAAGGCAGGAAAATTCCAAAAATAATTTATGCTCTTGAGAAAATGTTGAAAGAGTACACTATGTTAAGAAACAGTGGAAAAAAGCCAAGTTTTAGTTAAATTATGGGTCAAAATATTTTTTTCTCACCCTCTGTCCTAATTGTTTTCTCAGCCAAATATTATTGCAGTTATTCATATCAAGGGGTGCCTGGGTGGTTCAGTCAGTTGGTTGAGCATCCAGTTCTTGATCTCGGCTGAAGTCTTGATCTCAGGGTCTTGATTTCAAGCCCTGCTTTAGGCTTCCTGCTGGGCATGGAGCCTACTTAAGAAAAACAAAACAAGGTAAACAATTATTCATATCAAGAATGGTAGATATTGCAGTTTTTTTTTGAATGATTCAACAGTTTTATAGATTTTACAGTGCTGATTATCAAGGTAAGTGTACTTTTGTGGGCCTGGGTGCCTCAGTCCTTTAAATATCCAACTCTTGATTTTGGTTTACGATCTCATGGTTTGTGAGTTTAAGGCCCTTGTCTGGCTCTGCACTGATAGCGCAGAGCCTGCTTGGGATTCTCTCTTTCCCTCTCTCTCTGCCCCTCCCCCACTCTCGTGCACATGCGCTCTCTCTCTGTCTTTCAAAAATAAATAAATAAACTTTAAAAAAAAAGAGTTTGGGGCGTCTGGGTGGTTCAGTGGGTTAAGCGTCTGACTTCAGCTCAGGTCATGGTCTTACGGTTGTGAGTTCCAGCTCTCTGCTGTCAGCATAGAGTGGGTTTTGGATCCTCTGTCCCCCTTCTCTCTACATCTCCCCCACTCACATGCCCTCTTAAGTGTGCACTCCCCCTCAAAAATAAACAAACACTAAAAAAGAAAGTTTAAAGATAAGTGTAGTCTTTTTTTTTTTTTTTAAAGTTTATTTATGGGGCTCCTGGGTGGCTCAGTCAGTGAAGAATCTGACTTTGGCTCAGATTATGATCTCACAGTTTGTGAGTTTGAACCCCACTTTCCCTGTTCCAGGCTCTGCACTCTGTCTCCCACTCTCTTTGCACCTCATTGGATTCTTTTCTGTCTCTCTACCCCTCACTCACTCCCATTCTCTCTCAAAAATAAATAAATAAAAAGTTTATTTTTTTTTTGAAAGAAAGAGAGAAAGCCCGAGTAGGGGAGAGGCAAAGAAAGAAGAAGGGAGAGAGAAAGAGAATCCCAAGGAGGCTTCTCACTGTCAGCACAGAGCCAGACGCAGGGCTTGAACTCACAGTGAGATCATGACCTGAGCTGAAGTCCAGAGTCAGATGCTAATCAACTAACTGAGCCACCCAGGTGCCCCAAAATAAATGTACTCTTAATCCCTTTATCTTTTTCACCCATCTCCTCTCTGGCAGCTGCCAGTTCTCTAAGAGTCTGGTGTTTTTTTGTTTTTGGAGTTTTTTTTTTTTGGTCTTTTTTTTCTTTGTTCATTTGTTTTGTTTCTTAAATTCCACATGAGTGAAATCTTATGGATTTCTTATGGACTCATATCCTGCTTTAGGGCTTTGGCCCTAGCTGTTCGGTCTGGAGTTCTCTTCCTGTAGGTAACTGTGGTTAATAATCACCTTTAGGGTTCTGTTCACATGTTCCCCTACATCTGAGGCTTGTTCTGATTACCATATTTAAAGTTTTGCACAACCCTTCCTTACATTTTTCTCTGGATCTCACTCTGCTTTATTTTCTTTTTTTGCATAGCACTTATTTCTTTAAAAAAATTTTTTTAAGTTTATTTATTTATTTTGAGAGAGACAGAGACAGCACGAGTGGAGGAGGGGCAGAGAGAGAGAATTCCAAGCAAGCTCTATGCTGGCACCTCACACCACATGGGGCTTAAACTTGAGACTGTGAGATCATGACCTGAGCTGAAACCAAGAGTTGGATGCTTAACCGACTGAACCGGCCAGACTCCCCACACTTATCATTTCTAACATAGAGTATATTTTGCTTTCATTATTGTTTCTCGTCTTTCTCTTTACTAGCACGTGAGCACCACAAGGATGGGATTTTTGTTTGTTTTGCCATTTATTGTATATCTGGAACCTTCACTAGTGTCTGATATGTAGTAGGCACTTAGTAAATATTTGTGAATGAATAAGTGAAGTTTAAAGGACTAGAATTTTTGATGAGGTCAAAGAAATAGTTCATTAAAAGTAAGGAAATAAAAGTTGAGGATAAGAGTTTGTGATCAGAGGTAGACTCTGGGAATATAGCCATAAATAAGACAGTAAAAAAACCTGTCCCTATGAGGCTTGCCTTCTAGCTGGGCAAATGCATAATAAACCATGCAAAATAAGTAAAGTATATACTATGTTTGATAGTTGTACATGCTAATGGAAAGGGAGGCCTCAGAGTCTGTGGGATATGAAAAGAAATAGCCTTTAAGGAGAAGTGTATTGTAGGTAGATGGGCAAGGAGAGAGATTAAAAGAGCATTCTTTACTGGTCATCTTCTAGGAAAGAATCATTTTTTTTTTCCTCATAGTAAAAAAGAATGAGCCCTTGTTTATTTTAGCTATTGCTTTTGTAAATTATATCTTTTTTTTTTTTTTTTTTAAGTAAGCTCTAGGGCCCAATGTGAGGCTTGAACTCACAAACCTGAGATTGAGTCACATGGTCTACCAACTAAGCCAGCCAGGTGCCCCTACAAATTATATCTTTGTGTTTAGGAAGTCATTCAAGAACTGATGATGACAAACCATATTCTTTAAAAGCATTTAAGGGGTGCCTAGGTGGCTCAGTCAATCAACTGTCTTGACTCTGGATTTTGGCTCAGTTCATGATCTCATGGTTTTTGAATTTGAGCCCCGCATTAGGCTCCATGCTGACAGTGCAGAGCCTGCTTGGGATTCTCTTTCTCCCTCTCTCTCTGTCTGTACCCCACCCCCAAAATAAACTAAAAAACTAAAAAAATATTTAAAAGCAACTTTATATTATTACCTTTTGTGGACAGCAGAGGGTACTATTTTGCCAATTATCTAAATCTGGAGGTAGCTTGTTTTGAGATAAAACCCTCTCATTTATTTATGAAAAAGAGTAGTTCCTTTGATTTTTTAAGAAAATAAATATTTGTTTTCTTCCACCAAAGCTCTGTTATATTTATTTATATGGTAATACAGATATAAGTAACTTTGTTAGAGTATTCATGAAATTTAGAAGAATTAATAAACAGTGTAAAAATCTTCAGAGAATAAATTGCATTTTGTCCATTATCATTGTCTGATTTTTGTTACTTGTCAGCTAATAGTGGCGTTGATGACATACTGTCACATTTGGGATATCTTTTTAGATCATATATTTGAATCTTAAAATTCTGTTTTTCTGCTCATTCCTGTCTTTTGTAGCAGAAAATGTATATTGCCATTTGAATTTAGTTCGTTTTGCTATAGAAAGTCTTACTCATATTTGGTTATATGACAGTGTAAGAGCCTAAGAAACTTAAGTGTGCTTTTAAAGCTTTCTCCATTCTGTGAATGTGTAGGATAAATTTATCAACTGCCAATGTTATCCTTTGTTAAATCTACCTCCCTCTTTTCCTTCCATATATAGTAACAGTTAGTTGACCTTTAGCCCCTTCATGAAGTGGCAGTATGTAACTCTGCTTCTTACGTAACCAGCTACTTATTTATCAAATACCTTTGATCTTTGACTAAGCTAACTTTTGCCCTGCTGACTTTAGGGTGATTTTTAAGAATCAAATTAAGATTATGTAATTAAAAGGACTTTGAAGGCTAATAATTAAGGAACTTTTAAGACTTCAGGGGTATAAGGGATATCACTGGAAAAGTACAGGACGATGAGATGGGTTAAAAGGGACATTTAAAAAAGAAAACCTACCAGATATGTGTTTAAATTATATCTCGGTGAAAGAATTACTTGAATTACTTTAAAGCTTGTTTACTGTTCTTCAGGTGATTACTTGGTTAATTCAATTTTTTGAAAAAATCTTGCTGTTGAGTACTCTACTGGAAATCGCAATATGAATAAGATGTATCTGCTTTTGAGAATCCCTTGGTCTCAGAGGAGTGAACACGTTTCAAGGGTAGTTTTTCAGTTGAAGGCAAGAGCATCTCCTTTGAGGGTGCCTAGAAGTGGGCAGGAATTGGCCAGAGAAGCCTTACGGAGACCAGAAGAGCTGGGCTTTGAAGTCAATCAGTTGGAGTTGTCCAGGCAGGTCATGTGGTAGGATGCTCCAAGGAGTTGTCTGCCTATGTTTAAGATCTAGCTCCAGCTCTCATATTCTTAGGCAATTGTGCATTAATTTTATCATCTATAAAATGGGGATAATAATTGCATTGACTTTATAGGATTGTTGTGAGAATTAAAACATTTACAACAGTGCCTGGCATATACTGAAGAATTGAGGGTTAACATTTAATGTCATTACAGAATTCTGGAGATCTAAGTGATAGAATTGGCAGGTTGTAGTTTTTGAATGTGAGTGTTAAGGGGAAAATGATGCATCTGGCTTGGTAGTTCTCAGCCTTGGATGCACATTAGGATCATCTGGAGAATTAATGTGTGCTGATGCCTGGGCCCCACTCCAGAGAAATTAAATAAAAATCCTGGGTGTGTCGTACCAAGTGATTTTGATGTTCAGTTGGGCTGATAACCCCTGGTCTAGGGCTATTTCCGGGCTTCTGGCTTGAGTGACTGGGTTGATGATGGTGCTGTTTATTTACTATGATAAAAGCCAAATAGAAAGAAAAGGTGTTGCTTTTAACATAGCACTTAGACTTTCTAAGAATCCTGTTAGCATTTGCATGGTTTAAATTTTGGTAACTAAAGGATGCTTTTTAAATATTGATTTCTGGATTGAATATCATAAATGACCCCAAGCTTTATGACTTTCATGTTCTTGTGTCTGCATTTTATACTTGGAGGTGTTTGGGTTATTTTTGTTTGTTTGTTTTATTTTTTGGATGTTATCTGGTGCTGTTCCTTTTTGTTTTTTTTTTATTTATTTATTTTGACAGAGAGAGAGAGAGAGAGAGAGAGAGAAAGCAGGAGAGGGGCAGAGAGAGAGAGGGAGAAAAAATCCCAAGCAGTCTCCACACCATCAGCACAGAGCCCAATGTGGGGCTCGAACTCACGAACCATGAGATCATGACCTAAGACAAAACCAAGAGTTGGGTGTTTAACTGCCTGAGCCACCCATGCGCCCCTTTTCCTTTGGACTTATCAGCTTTCAACATACCCTGTAATTTACACATTTATTGGATTTATTTGATTCACTCTTTTAAAATTTCTTGTTGTCTTCTCTCTCTTTTCCCTCACCCGCACCCCAGTCACTACTACCACAACCACTAGAAGGTAAGCTCCACCAGAACAAGGATCTTTGATATTTTTTGTTCGCCTGTGAATCCTAAATTTCTGGTACCTAGTACATAACACCTATTTCTTAAATGAATAAATGAAGTACTATCAGTCTGGGTTTGTTTCCTTCCAGGTTCTTGATTCTGCTCCAGAGTAAGTGAGATGTTGTAGAGCACAGTTTCAGAGAGATCTCTGACAACTGTTTTCATGGAGTTTAATTTTTGGTTGATAAAGATTGTAAGAATACAATTGAGTAAATTCCTCTTACTGAATCTTAACAAAAACTTTTTTTTTTTTTTAATCTTTTGGTAGGAACCACCAAAGCCACCTCTAAACAATTTCAAAGTAGGGATGAAACTTGAAGCCATTGATAAAAAGAACCCTTATATGATCTGCCCTGCAACTGTTGGAGATGTTAAAGGAGATGAAATTTACATCACATTTGATGGCTGGAGTGGAGCTTTTGATTATTGGTGCAAGTACGATTGTCGAGATATTTTCCCAGTTGGGTGGTGTCGACTGACAGGAGATGTATTACAACCACCTGGAACTCATGGTAAGATAATAAGTAACTATGTGTTTTTCTTTATTTTATTGAAGTTAGATCTGATTGATACTAGCATTGAGGTTAGGACTTCATTTGCAACTGGAGCAGCAGACAGAATAGTGAGGGCACTGTCTAGGCTAGAGAACTGGAGGTAGAAGAAGGTAAATTAGATTTCTTGAGGACCAACTCAGCATCATAATCTGAATTGACAGTCCACATTGGAGAATATGGGCAAACTACAAGTCACACTTGGACCATTGAAGCCTAGCTACTGTAGGCATTTTGGGGTGCTTAGCTATCTTTGTAGTTGATATTCAATTTAAAATTACATATAGTATTCCACTGTTTATATCTCAGAGATGGTGTTCTTTTTTAATTTTTTTTCAAAAAATTATTTTAATGTTTATTTTTGAGAGAGAATAGGGGAGGGGCAGAGAGAGAGAGAGAGAGGGAGACACAGGATCTGAAGCAGGCACCAGGTTCAGAGGCTGACCTAGGGCTCAAACCCATGGACTGCGAGGTCATGACTGGAGCTGAAGTCAGATGCTTAACCGACTGAGCCACCCAGGCACCCCTCCAATAGTTTTTAAAAGGTTAGGCTTAACTCATATATATATATATATTCTGCACACTTTAGGTCAATTTTTTTAAGTCAAATTGATAATTTGATAGTCTTTTATTTTCTTAAATATTTTATTGTCAAATTGATTTCCGTATAACACCCAGTGCTCATCCCAACAAGTGCCCTCCTCCATACTCATCACCCCCTTCCCCTCTCCCCCACCCCCATCAGCCCTCAGTTTGTTCTCAGCATTCAAGAGTCTCTCATGGTTTGCCTCCCTCCCTCTCCCCCACTATTTTTCCCCTTTTCCTCCCTCATGGTCCTCCGTTAAGTTCCTCCTGATCCACCTATACGTGCAAACATGTGGTATCTGTCCTTCTCTGCCTGACTTATTTCACTCAGCATAACACCCTCAAGCTCCATCCATGTTGTTACACATGGCCAGATTTCATTGTTTCTCATTGCCATGTAGTATTCCATTGTATAGATAAACCACATCTTCTTGATCCATTCGTCCATTGATGGACACTTAGGCTCTTTCCATGTTTTGGCTATCGTTGAGAGTGTTTCTATGAACGTTGGGGTCCATGTGCCCCTATGCATCAGCACTCCTGTATCCCTTGGGTAAATTCCCAGCAGTGAGGGGAGTTCTAGTGTGAATTTTTTGAGGAACCTCCACACTGTTTTCCAGAGGGGCTGCACCAGTTTACATTCCCACCCACAGTGTAGGAGGGTGCCCATTTCTGCACATCCTCGCCAGCCTCTAGTCTCCTGATTTGTTCATATTAGCCACTCTGACCGGCGTGAGGTGATATCTCAGTGTGGTTTTGATTTGTATTTCCCTGATGATGAGGGACGCTGAGCATTTGATAGTCTTTTTTTACTTAAAATTTTTAATATTTATCTTTGACAGAGACAGAGTGTGAACAGGGGAGGGGCAGAGAGAGAGGGAGACACAGAATCCAAAGCAGGCTCCAGGCTCTGAGCTGTCAGCACAGATACCAGTGTGGGGCTCAGACCCACAAGCTGTGAGATCATGACCTGAGCTAAAGTTGGAGGCTTAACTGACTGAGTCACCCAGGCACCCCAATACTTTGATGGTCTTAAAAGTAAAATCTCCCCATCAGTTAAAATGTTATGCTATGGAAGCAATCGTAGATTAATATGTTATTATAAACAAGTGTTTATCAGTTTTAATGCTTTGCTTCCTAAATTGAATACTATGATCATCTAGATATTTTCTTTCAGAGAAAAATCATCAAAATATTGAGGCTCCTCAGTGACTCTTCCAAAGGCTTTAAACTTTCCTAAACTAGTCTTCTCTGATAGAATAACTGCTGAGATTTAAGTGGGATCTAAGCACAGAACCTAATAATTGACCTAAGTTAAATACAAAATTTGTATAATCAAATGTAAACATACTTAAAATTTATCCAACTAAAATTTATTTATTTGTACCAGAAAAAAAGAAAGATGAGTGTAGAAAATGAGTAATGTGTGCTGGATGAGAGCAGTGGCTAGATAAAAGCATATAGCCATATTCTTGGAACTGCTGTTAGAATCTTCTATGATTTGGGACTCTTAACACATCCCATTATATTATAATACTACATACCATAACATCCTTTTTATTAGGTACTTATTTTATCAGTTCCCTGCTGCCATAATTCTAGGAAGCAGATGTCAATTGCTGATTTTTGTGAAATGTAGTATGCTACAGATCTATGTGTATATGATACTGAGGCAGTCTCTGCCTTCAGGGAGTTTATCTTCTAGCGGAAGACAGATGAATGGAGGATAGACTTTAAAAAATATATATGATCCAGAATTAACTATGCAAAAGTAGAGTTGTATGCTAGATACAAAAGTGGCCCAAAGACATCCAGTCTGTTTAGGCTGGAGGGAATGGTGGTTGGGTAAAGGAAAGCTTCACAGAAAGATACATGATGTATTAAGAGAGGAAAAGGAGTTTGCCTGGCAGAGTGGAGATAAAGGTAGGGTAGACACATCACAAAGCTATAAAATTGCACAGTATATCCTGAGAACTAGGGAGTTCGGTTTGGAACTTGGTAACTTTGGAATGTGTGGCCAAGAATGCTGTTGTCTTTCACTTTCTGGTCTCCCTTTTTTTCTTAGTAACACAATTCAGGTACCTAACATGAAGACTGTATTTACAGCCTCCCTAGCAGTTATATATGGCCATGAGACTAAGTCCTGGTCAATGAGATAAAAGTACAGGTCATATGTTCTACTTCCAAAAAGTGTATTAGAGAGAGATCAATGTACCTTTCTCAGTTCCATCTTTCTGTTTCTATCATGCTGCTAGGAGTGTGCTTGTTTTGGTGGAGTTCCATCTTGAACCATGAACTGGGACCATATTCTAAGCTTTGTGGATTAGAAAGCAGAAAGGAGCCAGAGTCCCTGAGAATTTTGTGGAGCAGAATTTTCGTACTGGCCTCTTCCAGGCTATTATTTAAAAAAAAATTTTTTTTAATGTTTATATTTGAGAGAGTGAGAGAGTGTGAGCAGGGGACGGGCAGAGAGAGAGAGGGAGATATAGGATCTGAAGCAGGCTCTAGGCTCTGAGCTGTCAGCATGAAGCCCGATGCAGGGCTTGAACCCACGAGCCGTGAGATCATGACCTGAGTTGTAGTCTGACGCTTAACCAACTGAGCCACCCAGGTGCCCCTCCAGACTGTTATTTGAGAGAAATAAACTTCTCTGCTATATAAACCAATATTCTTACAGGTTTTTCTGTTACTGTTAACTGAACTTAATCCTAACTAATTCAGGGTAACTTTAGGATATTGGATAGCAGCACATGCAGGTATGGAGCCTAAAAGAGATAGGGTCTGAATTGGCAAAGCAGATTTGAGAGTCATCAGGCTCATTCAAGTAAATATTCTGTATCACGTGGGATTATAGGTATTGGCAGTGGCTGAGAGTGGGAGGTAGGCAGCTACACATCCAATTAATAGCAGTAAGTGGGGAAGTTGTGTGTGTGTGTGTGTGTGTGTTTAAGTTTATCTATTTTGGGAGAGTGAGAAAGCATGAGTAGGGAAGGGGCAGAGAAAGAGGGAGAAAGAATCCCAAGCAGGCTCCATACTGTCAGCACAGAGCCCAGTGTGGGACTTGAACCCACAAACCGTGAGATTATAACCTTAGCCAAAGTGGAACACTTAACCAGTAGAGCCACCCAGGCATCCCTGGGTGTAGTTTTAATTGTGGATGTGTAACAGGTAGAAGTAGAAGAGGATCAGGGAAAGAACCTTGTGAGTCAATATTTAAAACAATTTTCATACTTGAATCACCTGCTAGGGCGAGCTTATTCAAAGGCTAATAACCTGGAGCTCATACCCAGGGATTCTGAATTAATAGGTCCAGAATGGAGCTCAGGTGTTTCCATTGCACATGGTTTGAGGCCCAAACTGTGAGAAACACAAAAATAAAGGATGAGTAGAAGATAGAAATCAACTTAGGGCACTGAGCAAAAGTATACATAAATGTAGGAGAGTTATTAGATGGGTTTCCCCAACAACAGGAGACTTAAATATTTTAAGGAGTAAGTATTCAGCACTGTCAAGTACAACATGAAAGAGGAGAGCTCATTAGTGGTCTTAAGTAAAAACATGGTTACTCGACTATTTGCAAAGCCGGATTTAGAGAGCTGAGTAAATAGCAGATGCAAAGTGTTTTTTTAAAATGTGGTTTCACTGTTACTTTCTGAGATCCGCCTCCTCTGTCCTTTACCCCACTAGACATTTCACCAGTTAAAGTGAATTTTAGAAACCTTCCCTCAATTTATATCCCTTTACCCTCCCACATTCATAATAGAATTATCTTAAATATTTCCTCTACATTCATTGAAAATGGCATTGGGCAGTGTTAATTTTTGTTAAACCATTAAACATAATTTAAAAACTCAGGAGAAGGAAAGTATTGTATTTACCCACAGTTTCACCATTTCAGTTCTTTCTTCCTGATCTTCAGTTGTTTTTTTTTTTTTTTAATCATTTCCTTTCTGTTTAGAGAACTTCTTTTACTCATTCTTTTAGGTAGGTCAGCTGTCAACAAATTCTTAGCCTTACGCCATCTAAGAATGTCTTTATTTCCTTTTCATACTTGAAGGATAGTTGCTGGATATAGACTTCTAGGTTGACAGCTCTTTCGGTACTTAAAAAATGTAGTGCAACTTCCTTCTGGCTTTCAAGGTTTCTGATGAGAAGTTTGCTGTAATTCGAATGGTTTTCTTCCCCTGTAGGGTCTGTTATGACCAAAAAAAGTCCATTTTTGCTTATAGTTCTTCTAGTGTTTATGTTTTATCTATTTTGTGGCAACATTATCAGGTGTGTACAAATTTTGAACTGTTATAACTTCCTGGTCAGTTGAACCTTCTGTAGTAATCCTCTTTTTTATACCTTAAAATTGCTTTATCTTATATTAATGT